AGCGAGCGCGGTTCCTCCGGAATGCAGCAGCCCTTTCAGCACCAGGGCCGGGGACAGCGCCCGCGGGGCGCCGGGCGGCCAACCCCACCGCCGCCCCCCTCCCTCTCTCCCTCCCTCCCGGCGAGGGACCTCCGGGGGAGAGGGGAAGGGGGCATGTGTGTGATTCCACCCCTTTTCCCCCTTTCTTTTTTCGATTTTTTTTTTGTTTGTTTGTTTTGCCGGAGTTGCGGTTAAAGTTGAAGAGTGATCCGTGCATATATAATCTGTGCCCATAGGTGATGGTGATTATCTGCCACCCTTTTCCTCCCAGTTTATTGTAATCAGAATTTGTCAGCACTCTCAATTTGGTAGTGGAAGCTTCCATTTTGTGAGGAAGGGGTGTTGGTTTCTTCTAACATGGAGAAAAGTCTGCAGAGTTTGAAGGTGGGGGATGGGGCCCCATTCATGCTGAACATTACCATTTTGATTGCTTTGATGCCATTTTTGGAGGGGGGAGGGGATAGAATACCCTACTCAGCAGAGCACAAAGATGTTTAATCACTGTATAGAATCAAATCAGATACTTTCTTTTTTAAAGCAAATCTGACACTACATGATAGCTAAGGGCTGTTAGTCCTTTTTTTGCAGTGTAAAACAGCAAGTTGTTGACTCTAATACTACTATACTGAGTGGAAGATTTTTTTTTTAAACAAGGTAACAGCCTTTACTGCCACAATGCATCTTTATGTGTTCTTTCTTCAATATGGAAATAGTTTCACTGTTCTAAGTGGGTATTTAGAACATACATTTGATCATTTTCCCCTGTATTGTAGCAACTATTTCAAGGCTGTTTAAATTTTTATGATGATAGTAAATGAGAAGCTATTTATTATGTGTCATGTTGGAATTTAGATAAGGCAGAGAGACACATTTGAAAATACAGTTTGAATGTTCTGATTCAACTCGGTGAAAAAGGTTTTTGCTAAGCTTACGCCACATATTTATGTGTAATCCAAACTAACTAGTAAACAGTCGACCTATATTTATCACTTGCCCTTCTCATAATCTTATAAACAAATCTATAAACTATGAAGTAATTAAACTTAAAATAATAAAATTCAGTTAACAGCAAATTGGCCTAGCAGGAAACCTACTATTTTTAGGCAAAACCCTAGATGCAGATTTCTTTTACTGATTTCAACATCTTGTGCAACAAGAGCTTATAAATAAAAGACTAGCTGGTGATGTGGTGTCCTCTTGCTCCAGACTGCCACCTCTGGAGGTCTAAACTGAAATCTTTCTTGGGTCACAAGTGAAATGAGTTTGGAGGTCTTAGCCTTTGACCAAATCACAAAGCCATCGTGTAACTTTGCAAACTTGCTTGAATTAGTAGTTGCTCCTTAGGTAATGGCTTATAAATGAACTATCAGTCTTTGAATGCATGAAGAAGGTGCACTGAAGGCTACTGAGACAATAGATAGGCTAATGTTGCAGCTGTTTAGTGGTTTCAAGCTCTCACTTTTGTGGCTATACCAAAACACTGATGTAAATGTAAGTAGGCAGTGTAAGTAGGGAGGTTATTTTTACATATGTATTTATATTCCTTCCCTCCTTGCCCCCCCAAAAAATTTGTTTAGGCGCAACTAATTCATAATTCAATAATGTATACCTTTGATTGTGCATGCACTGAATACAAAAGATGCTAAAGTTGAATTTCAATTAACTGCACATGTGGATGATGAAACAGATAGTAAAATGAATGGATGATCACATCATCCACATCTGTTAGAAATATAGCATGAGTGAGTGTTATCTTTCAGTACCCCTATTCATCAGCTTTCCCTTGTAGCCATTGGCATTTGTGGCAATATTTCCTTTTCTTGAAAGTTACAAATAAAGACAGAAAGAACTGAATGACAAACTCACCTTTTGGTGCATGAGGAAAATGTATAAAGTAGACTTTTATGCACAGTTGGATTTTAAGTTTTGACCTAATTAAAGATCCCTGGCCAGTCATCGATGTTTCTTTTATGTTGGCAGTTTAGACAGATATGGAATTAAATGTAGTTTTAACATTTTCCAAGTGTTTTCAAATAAGTACTGTGGAGCCATCATTTTCATTATTGAAACAGTGCAGCTTCAATCAATACTTAATTTGGCATCCTACTCAGAAAGACAAAAGTTGGACTTTTGTTAGGAGTGTATCTTTCATATACTATAGTTTTGATGAATTGTAATAGCATTTGAGAGTGGGTTACCTCTTCTTTAACAAGATATGATGTGTGAAGACTCCATTAGTTGGTCCAGTGGTTTTACACCTTCAATCTGCAGCACATGCAGAGCAGTGGTAACATTTTTATCTAAATTGTCAAGCAACAAGCATTTATATGTAAATAAAAGAGCTATCATAAGAGCCAGCATTGGCCTTAAAAGCACACTAGAGGTGCTTTGCTGCACGTGTTTCTTGCTTTCTTTATGTCCTTAAAGAGTCATTAAGGGTCTTTTAATTTTAGAAAGATGTCTCTTATTAATTAATAGATCAAGATCAACAAATAAACAAACCTTTAACCTCCACTTGGAAGTTATTTGTTACTGACGTAAGTATAAGGTGGTAAGGGAGGTCTTAAAAATTAACAATGAGCATGTGTGGGCTACTGTATTTTCAACTGCAACAAACTCTGAATTCAGACAGCCTGTCCTGGAGCGCAGTAATAAAAATATGTCTTCCTGAAAGACATTATGTATATGCCATTCACTTGTGCACTGCCTCATTTCTTTACCATAATTTACTATCTATGCAGAAAATCAACATTAGTTTCAGGCGACTCTCCCAGCATGTGTTATTGCTGGTTTGTATTTTGGGGTAGTATATCTGAAATTAAATCGCTGACTGTATTTTGCCTGTGGTGATCGCCAGCAAAGCCTGTTTGTGGGAAGTGTTAGACTTCTTAAAATTTAAGTACAGTTCTTATGCAAGTTGTTGGAAATGATTTAACTCAAAATGTCTGATTTTACTGATGTTGTATCTTTGTTTTGGGGAGAAGAAGAAAGTGTGGTTTTGGTTTGTTGAAATTTGTGCTGTGCTGTGCCTGGAAATGGCAGCATTGTTTACACATGTTAAAGGGGAAATTATTGACATTTGCCAAAGCTCAGAATTTTATATGGTCGAGTACTTTCAAAATTATTGAAGTAAAATAAGGGTTATAAGTGTCAGTGAAAACTGAGGTAAAACCTGAAAGGGATTTCCAAATCATGTTGAACCTAACGTCAAACTCTGTCCCAAGGTACACATAGAACTCCTGTTTGTTGTGTCAAGAATTGTGTCTATGTATGTTCATCCCAGCAGAATTTGGTTTGAAGGATCTTACTGAGCACTCACTGAAGTCAAGGAAGACAGGGTGATGAGCTCCCAGTTGAAATATTAAACTTTTCAATCACTGCATTGAGTCTTTAAACACAAAGACAACAGGTATTAAATGTGGGCTTGACTTTGCAGCTCTTCTGCACATTGAGGTCTCACTGACTTTGCTGGGAAACCTGAACAACTGCAGAATCAAATGAACTTACTGGATCAAAGTAAAGATTAGTTCTGGATTGTAATTCAGAAAGCTTCAGTTCCTTTTTTTTTTTTTTTATGTCAATCAGCCAGTAATTTATTGGTTGCTTTGCCATCTGTAGAAAAAGTGATGAAACTAGGGAAGAATTTACCTTGAGCTTGTTGGAGGAGAAATTTGGGAATATAGTTTGCATAATGGCAATCCTAGCATTCTGTTTGTGCTTTCAGTAATACCATATTGAGATTCCCTGTTCACATTGGGGAAAAAGGATAGTAAAGTACATTTCCATAGAGGTGAAACACAATGGAAATATGTATACTTGTGGCTTTCTGCCTTCTATTAGGTTGCCCTTATAAGATTCATGGAAACTGCACATCCGTAATGAAAATGTGTACTGGAGGGGGTTTGAACCACCTTTTGT